GGGGGGGGGGGGGGATGGGGAAGGAGATCAGTAGGACATCAATTAGGCAAGACATTTGTCAGAAAAATTGGAAATCAACCAAAGAAAAGGAAAACCAAACTGCAGCACAATTGGACTCTGACCATTGTTTTTATCTGTCATGCGTGTCCTCTGAAACTGTCTGCTTCAAACAATCAACATTGCACAATGCTACTGATCTCACCATGTCTCCTAAACTGTCATCATTCAATACCTTAGTCAGAACTCAGATTTATATTCACAGTATCAACTAAAGCCAAGGAGAGGTTTAATCAGAAAGAGTGAAAGAAAAAGAAACAGTTTATCTAACCGATCAAAGCTGTTTCTCCCTCGGTCTGGCTGATCAGTGCTATTCCTTGCTTTCCAATAATTCTCCATGCTCTTTCTTGATTTTTCCCTCTTGTCAGCACTGCTTCTTGGTTGCTCTCTGTTATCCATGCTTGGCCTAGACTTCTCTCTCTGTCCGGTGCTAGCCCTAGCCTTCTCCCTCTGGTGAATACCTGGTCTGGACTTCTCAATTTGGCCTGCAATGTCTGAAGGATTTTTTGTTTGATTTAGAGTTTGTTCTAAGTCATTAATTTGAAGACGCGGCAATTTTGCAACAGCTGATATGAATTTCTTGAGATGCCTAAAGAATTCTGGGAAGATTTGTAAGTCACAATGATTTCCTCCAATAAGCCACAGAGGTTCATACTTCTCCTTACATAGCTCCCAGAGCCGCTTCCCATGGGATATATCCACAACTTCATCTTCTGTACCCTGCAACCACGCCCAATGTGTCCAATGTGATAGTGTTAACAAGATCTCACATGGATTAGTCCACAAATCTGAAAGAGTTAAGAAACATAATATATGATATTTTTGGTACTTAGGCAACAATGCTTACTGTGTATGGAGAAAGAGGGTGCAGAGTATCAGTCGTGATAGGTATGAATATCTTACAAAATGTTTCGTATCCACCAAATTGTATTTCAATTCATTTTCCAGATTTTATGTTCAACAACTTACCATTTGTTGCATACTAAACAAAATTCCATCGAAATAGTTACAACAAAATGATAAAAACTTTGTTTGACACAGGTGCATTGATTCTTAACGCTAAGAAATCTCCACAGGCAAAATAAAACTGCATACATCTGATTCGCTCTAGATTCCATTGTGATGGCAGTCTTGTGCAATGGACTGTTTTTTTTTTCAATTCAAATACCATCCACTTAAGAGATTGGAATTGTGAGAAGTCAAGCAGATACCCCGATCAATAATACTGAGCTGATATGCCATATTACCAACTAAACTGGCTCAGAAATTCCAAAGTTGTGCAACTCACATGAATTATAAGAACTGGACAGGCGATAAATGGAATTTTATCGATGTTCTGCAGAAGAAACATGAGCTCATTCATTATTAAGGAGGAACAACATTATAAAAATTGAGACAACTAAGTTTTGCCACTACCAAACCTTGTAAATGTCTAGCCAAAGTGTTCGCTTCATACTGTACATGACTCGAAGGCCAGAGAGAATTGCACTCTGAAGAATCACAGCTCTCAGTTGAGGCAATTTCAGAGCCAACTCCAGAGTTGGTCCACTCCCAATTGACTGCCCATACAATATAAGATCTTCCTCCTTGACTTCATATTTATCTTTCAGGCATGTGTATGCAGCCTCTATGTCAGCATACGTGTTCTGCTCACTTGGCTAAAGTGGTGGAAATGTGCAACAAATCAGTAGCTTTCAATTTAATCAATTACTTGTAGTACATAAAAAAGAAAACAAAAGATATAGTTCTTGAGAAATGGTGCTCTCCCTGATGGAATTGAATTAGTGAGATTTCGAGTAAATGTTTGCATTATCTTCTTCTGTACGAAGAAACAATTCTTTCAAAAACCAAGCTTAAAACAACACAAAAAAATTGATATATCATAAGTTAAAGAAATGAACAAATATTTAGACAATAGATACAAGGCCAAAAACATAAATTTTGGGTTGTGTTTGTTCCTTTTGGCCTAAAAAATAATGATTCACCAGTTCTCTAGCTTGTAAAAAGTGTAGGATTAATGGCATACCTCTCCAGTAGACCGTCCATATCCAGCATAATCATACCTGTGAAGAACATGAGATCAAATTGATCATCTTAACCACTCTTGGGCTCAAAATTTTTTTTTCCCAAAAGCTAAATTATTGTCAAAACACACGCGCACACATACACACACAAACATGTTTGTGTTTTGAGAATAAGGACTGACCCCATGACATTGACACCAAGTTGATCACTGAGTTCAGTCAAGAACTTGAACATCTGGCCCATATCAGCAGCATTGCCATGGGAGTAGAGCACTGTCAATGAAGCAGAAGTGTGTTTCAAGTACACTGCAAATATTATGTGGCCTCTCTTCGTATGTAACATTGACACTTCCCCTTTCTCACTCTGAGGAACGCCAGTAAGTCTACATTTTCCAGTCTGTTCATTCACTTCTACTTTATATGATGGCTCCGGTGGGAAGAATGCAAGTTTGGCTGCTATTGAAGACGTTGCACCACCCATTTACGCAGGCTTAGAATTTTCTTATTTTATGATCATGACCTGCAGAAAAGATCTTCACAGATTACCATGTAAAAACTCAAAAATGGTTAGGAGGCTGAGTAGAGACTATGCACTCCTTAGGAATAATATCGGGTGAGAGAGAGAGAGAGAGAGAGAGTGAAGGAGAGGGAGATTTGGAAATTTGTGAAAAATAGGAAGAAAGATGGAAAAGAACCTTGATCAAACTTGAGAATAAGATGAGACGTAAATTCTCACATCTTGAATTCGAGTTCGTATAAAATCTGAATTTTGAATTATGCGCATATGTATCAAGGCAATTAAAAAAAAATATATTGAAAGAGATTTGGATCCGATACTGCCAGTCAAAAAAAAGTAATGGCATGCAATTCCAAAATGATTCCCCCTCCACCCCACCCCACACTGAAAGTGGAGGAATGATGAAAGTGTGTGGTTGGCTTGGTAAAGTAAGGGAGCAATATTATCACACATTATTACCTATATGTTTTGACTTAGTTTCAGTGACTTTTCTTATGAGTTTCTTCCACCTAATCCCATGATACTATAGGAACATAGACGCGCGCGCACAAACACAGAGTGAGGCATGATTTGGATTCGAGATCAAAGCAAGCCATAGGTCTGATGCAATTTTCGTTTAGTAGACTGCGTTGCTAGGTAATTTTTCTTGCTTTTCGAGTTTTCGTATAGAGGATGTGATTCTTTTTTTTTTTTTGTAACAGAAATTATGCCATTCTGTGAGAGCGGTATTGATCATTTACCGAGGCTGGTCCGAGGCTACATCCCATCACTAGACATAATGAGAGAAAAAGCAAACACTGATAAATATGCTTACTTTACTTATTACATTCCTCTTTTGCATTTCATAGTTACCTTTGTTATCTTGAGCTTTTACAATGTCCATCAGTGAACCTTTTCTTTTGTTTACACACTATTGTCCCCTGGAGTTGTATATATAATTTGGTGGTTTCAATGACATTCTCTAACAATTCGAATTTCTATTTTAGTTTCAACTGTCGGTCGGTATAAAATGACCGTAGCAGAAATGAAAATGTTAAGATGAAATAATATGTGATGGGATATAAAAAAGATTGAATTAAAGATGAAAATTTAAAGAGAGAATAAGAGCATAATCAATTGAAATTAAATGGAGAGAAAAATAACAAGATGGTTTTGAAAAACTCTAAACTCCCTTCCTGTGACTATGTGACCAGTGGTGGCCATGAACCCCAACCCCCCACCCCTTTTCCCCACAATGGGTCCTGGTCTTGGCAGAAGAAAGGGCCTGGGCCTGCAGTTCTAGCCCAAATTAAGGGACAGGTTGGCCTAGTCTCGGAGGCAAGCTATGTTGAAGTGGGACAAAAAAGGAGTACGGATATTGGCTACGTAAGCAACATGAAGGCCATCCATACATGGCTTTCTTTCGGCTTTAGAAGGATGCAGCGAGAGTAAGGATTACTTCGGAACTCTAGGAGAAAGGGCGTTTTAGGGCGGGATCTAAAAGCTCTCCAACGTGTTGTGGAGTCTTCGATTATGAGAGAAAAGAATCTTTTGACTTCCTCAAGACTGCGTAAAACTTAACTTGCACCCGCGTATTGTAATGATATGATTCAATCCCATATTAGTTGGTGATTTGGATGTACATAAATGTGATATTTGAATTTTCATTGTATAATACATTTTAAAGCCATGAGTTTAAAGAAAAAAATATTGTACAATGTGGGTTTGAAACGTTGCAACTAATATCAATGCCATTGACCCTTGTTGTATAGACGCTATTTAAGGTTGTGCATTTCCCAGTGCACCTTTGTCTGGTTGGCTGAGGGCTTGGGACGGTGGTAGGCTAGCAGCTAACGCCGTGAGAGTAATTCTTTGGAAGCTCACATCACTTGGGTCAAGGCAGCTCCATCTCTATGTCTCTCTATTTTGAGCTAATTAAAAGTGTGAATTTTGAACTTTTACATAAAACTGTGCGCGGACAATACAAGTTCAGATGCAGCTCTCCCTCTCTCTCTCTCTCTCTCTCTCTCTATTTTGAGCCAAAAGCGTGAGTTTTGAATTTTTATTGTATAACACGTCATAAAATTGCAGGCGGACAATACAAATTCTGATGCATCTCTCTCTCTTTCTCTCGTGTGGATGTGTGTATAATGCACTAGAAGTGCTCAAAGTTCATGTTGATATATGGGAACTGAATTCCATCCCATATAAAAGACACACAGAACCAAAGAAATTTTTCTCGTTGAATGCATGGCGGCAGACAAGCGCGAAACACCCATATCTTCCTTTCCACGCCATTGTAAACTTCTCCATTCCCCTAGCATCTTTAACCCACCACTTAATGCTTGTAAATTCACATTACTCATTTGATCAATCTTAGAAAATTGTTCTCTCTCTCTCTCTCTCTCTCTCACACACACACACACACACACATGCAAATGCATATAAAGCTTTGAGAGTAATAACAATTAATTGTGGACCCCTACTAGCTCTTTGGATTCTGGGTCTCCAGGAACTTTTCAAATTCTCTGGCTTGTAAATCCTCGAGATCCTTTTATTGGTAAGCTGACTTCACACATGGGGCTGACTCGAATGTTCATATAGCAATCAAGGTAATGAAATTGATAGTCGCTTGCTACCCTTGTTTCTTTATTACATATTTTAATTTAATTCAAGTTACGGTAGTTAAGTGCTGAACTTGAGTGAGTAATATGTAAAAACTTAGTCACCCTATAATAAAAAAAAATAAAAAATTGATAGTCATTATTGTAAAACAGCGAAAAAATAATTTAGACCTTATAAAAGTAACCTTTAAGATATTCTAATTCTTATATTTCTGACATTTATTTTATTTTTTGACCCGATTCCCCATTTTCGAAACGTGAAATTGAAGGCAAATATTGGGACCCTAGTTCCCAGGCTTGACTTAGGTCTCTAAATATGTTAAATGTTGGACCAGATCTTTGACTTGAGCTCTCTCTCTCTCTCTATAAAATCCACACTGTATCTGGTGTTAGTCTTCTCTTTGGATGTTGTTGCCTTTGACCAACGGACATACCCAAGAAAGAAATGGGAATGGTGAAGCCTACAAAGTTAACAAGCTTATTACTACTCTTGTTTTTTATTACTGGAAGGCTCTACACTGCACTGCAACAAGGTATATTCTGCATTTTTCAATGTTATTCCACTCAAGTACCTAACAATGGGAGGTTACTTCTAACCCCACCCCCCCTCCCACATACCTTTTTTTTCCACCTTGTTCCATCTATGATTTTATTCTATTTTGTTTCCTTTTGACCGAAAAATTTGTAGGTGGAAATGTTGCAGCCAAAGGATGCAATGCTATATCAAGAGAAGATCAGGTAAAATTATATATCAGTCATATGCGATGTATAATGCATACTATCTCCTCCCCATATTCATCAAGTATCCTTTTTGGGAAAATCTTCTTGAAAACACTTAATATTGTGCTTTAAATTGTGGTGGGAAACCTTTTAGTTCATAATGTTAACCCTTCAAGTGAATTTAAATTGTTTTTTTTTAAACTTCAGCCAAATTTGAAGTTAAGTGTATATGGGAAATATCACATGAAATAGTACTTTAACTCTTTTTTTTTTTAATGAAGTGAAAAGTTTTATTATGCTCCGACACCCCCTATTTTTTTAAAGGCTCTGCGCTCCCGCATTTTGATGGAAAAAACAAATTTAAATAAAGTTCATTACCTAGCTCAAGGGTATATTAAGCATACCCTTATAAGAGAGATGCATACTGTTGTAAAATATTGTATGGATACAGATGCTAAACACAATAATAAAAAGAGATCACAAAAACTTGCACGACATATACTATTCCTGATCTAAGAGATACATCCTCTCTCATATTGATCTATGTTCAATGTGTTCATGGGTAGGTTATACAATTGTTTGCCTTGTTTACAGGCACTTCTAGATGATGTTCTCGCCGCCACCACTGGTAGAGAAACCTGGTTGAGAGGACGAAAAATGGCGTTGGGAGATGTCAAGAGGCTAGACAAGGTGAAACGAAATGGTGCAACTGGAGGTACTGCAAAAATTTCAAGTGCAACACTTGGTGGTGGAGGGTATTTGTCTTTGGATGTTGAAGGTCAGCAAAGTCATAGAAGTCTCCTTTCTAAAGAGATGGATGTGGCTGGTTTTGTTCCTTTCGGTACTGCTGATTACAATGAACCAAGATACCACCCACCCAAAAATAATTGAACAAGACTTCTTGTTTGTTTTCTCCTTAGGTTTCTTAAATATATGACCTAGAAAAATTAGCTGTTTTCATCACAGTGCTTTTTATGCAATAGAATGGAATGAATATTTTCTGTTGTTTTCTTTTCCTTTTTAACAAGAAAAGTCTGCAAGAGAAAGTGGTATTGGGCACACTCTTGTATAGAGTGAATCTCGAATAACTGCAATCATCCGATAACCACAAATATCGGTTAAATTCAAAAGTCACCAGCAAAGATCAAACTTATGATATCCGTAAATGAATTTTGGGTTTAACCCAAGTTGAACACCACATCACTAGACTAACCTTGCGGGTTTATATATGTTATGTTGTTTTGAATCAGATGGTCACAATTTGTTCCTTAAGTACACTATAAGGAAGCAAATTAATTGCCGGCAATTGATTAAAAGGACTTTTGGATAGGATTGTTGATATGCCTTTCTCTTATTGGTTTTTTTATTTTAATTCTTCTTTGGATTTTTACTAACACTGTAAGAATTAAAATACTGGCTTCACTTCACCCACTCTTCTGTCCAAGTCCATGCCCTTTTTTTCGATTGTTAATCGACGAGTTTTAAGAGTTCGAATTTAGTCTATCGAGCTCATTTTTTTAAATGAATTTAAAATATTCAAGTTCGGCTCATTTAAAAAATGAGTCGAACTTGAACTGAGCCTAAAACGAGTTAAACTCGAACTGAGTCTGAGTAACTTGATTATTTTATATATAAAAGGGTCAAGTTTTGAGAATTTGAGTCAAGCCTTATATGCTTATTTTTTGAATGAATCTAAAAAAATTGTTTTAACTAAATTCGTTTAGAAAATGAGCCAAACTCGAGTCGAGCCTAAAATGAGTCAAACTCGAGCTGAGTTCAAGTAATTCGACTATTTTACATATAAATGAGCTGAGTTTTGGGAGATCGAGCTGAGTTTTATAGACTCATTTTCTGAACGTGCTTAAAAAATTATTCTAGCTTGGTTCGTTGAATCGAGTTTTATCCGAACTGAACTAAAGTAACTCGACTCAATTATCAGTCCTATTCTTTTACTCAATGAAGATGTGATCTACATGTACTTTTCCTTTGAAAATTTTAAACAACTAAAAAAAATTCTGAATGGGTTGCGTTGAGTTTGAGAAGACATTTTATCTTGATATAAAAATAGCAGTAGGAGTCTTCTCTTAACAATAACCATGGTATCTGAAAGATGTGTTGTCATAGGAGTCAATATGAATTACCTGGTCACAGAGTCAGGGAAACCGCTGTTTTTTGTTTTTGAAAGGTGTAGTCACAAGAAGTCTGATGAATAATGTCAGTTTTTCGAAGATAAGCCGAAAAGAGATCAGATTCATATTCACGAGAGATTAGTACCGGAAGGTTCAATCCTTGCTCCTCCTATTTGGCCTCTTCATGCCTTTTCCCCTTTGCTTTCTATATTCCCATATGCAATAATGGAGATGGAGTACTTGGGATCAGCAGAATTCTAAAACTACGGAACCAACTGGTTTCACACCAGGAGAACAACATTCGAAGCATCGACCCCAATTGTTTGAAAGATATCTTGAGAAAAGGTTTTAGCAACGGTGTATCCTATATGCACTCTAGTTTTTTCGAACTATCCCAATGGTGTAAGGGTCCAAGCCATATCAACGAAAACAAAGACATCTTCATCTGGATATCTAGGGGGCAATCTATGCAAAGGTTCTTCCATACCTTCTTTCCATACATCCAACGGTAGAGGTGGGAGGAAAGAGAAGACTTGGTAATCCCCCTAAAGAAAAAAGAGAATTCTCATTTTTTCGTATACCAACCTTCCTTTAAAATTGGATTAGATAGGCTAGGATAAGGGTTTAAAGAAAAGAAAAAAAGTTTCATGATTTATGGATTATTGAGCTCATGTCCCCTCCAACCATCAAAATACGGAGGGAGATTGAAAAAGGGAGAAGGTGCTGGATTAGTTCCTTAGAGTTAAAAATGAGCTTGCCGAACTTTATATTTTCTTCTGAGTTGTGGGATTAAACCTTGCCCTGCTGTTTTTTATTGATTTTTACCGCTTTATAGAAAAGGTTTACAGCCTAAAGAACCTAGTCCTGACCCCGACACACTCGCTCGCTTCCTCCGTTATTGCTATCCGCGCAATTTTCTATTCAACGTCCGTTTCCATTAGATAGAAGAGTGGAACGCGCCTACTTCTTTGAGTACCGACTTTCCTGCGATTGATTGGCTTTGATCCTTCCCATGTTTCCAAATATTGTGTGAACTGCATGTGCCTTTTTTTTCCTATTCTAATTGGATTGATTTTCATTTCCGTTTATATGCTAATAAGAGAGGCCTTTATCGAGGGTTGTGAGACCCCCCTCGACCTTGTAAATTATCGATGTAGGCTCAAACGAAAGCGTAAAATTTTAAATAGCCACAAAAAATTCTAAAGAGGTTGTGTTATATTCATGTGAGCCAACCATCAATACATAATAGCTAAGATTAATAATTATTCACACGAACCCGTTTAAACCCACTAACTTTGTACTAGTTTCTTGTCGAATTTGCTGGTTGTCTAAAATACAGACTTTATAATTCTTAGCAAAACTCGACTAGCCAGCTAGAGAATTAACATATGTAGGTTTGATCCTAATTGAATTAAATCATGACTATATTGACCCACCACTCCACTTAGTAAATGTTGGGACTTATAATTACATTAATGTTAGAAGTCCATAAATATTGTCAATCTTTTTTGTCTAAGTAACATTTATCATTTTTTTAAACACGACACGAGTCTACTACAATAAGTTTGTACCAAGGTTGTGTTGGAAAAATAGGCTTTCCCACAAGTGTAAATCAATGGAAGCAATATAAATAAAATAACAGAAAATAAATAAGCACACAAGATTTACGTGGTTCCCTCAAATAACTTGAGGTACATCCACGACGACCGGTAGGTCAGTTTCTTCCACTATCACCAAATCAGATTACAAAGTGGCCAAAAGGCATAAGCCTTACAAACACACCAAGGTGTAAATCACAAGAGGAAAATACCTCACAAAATAAGTGAACCAAATCTCCAAGAACAAACCGCAAGAAACCCAAATATCAAGTGAAGAAATGTTACCCACTTGAAGAACAAATTTGCAGATTTTTCTGGCACCAAAAAGGAGAAGAAGAAGGCTGAATTTTTGTTGAACCAAAGACTGCCGAAAATATGTCTTCTTGCCAAACCAACAGAGAAAAGATGAACCAAAGAAAAGGACAAAATTTATAGTCTTTGGTGGCTGCCAAATTCCTTTTAACTTGAAGACTCCAAACCAAGTCTTGGATAAGAGTCATACACGGGTAAGCCACCAAAAAATTAGCAAATTGATGAGTCCCACAAAGGAGGAAAACCCAACAGGTTGGATCAATACTAACATAAAACATGTCATTGCTACCTTAATTATTATTAGCCTACAAAGATACACCCACCCACCATTACTATTAGCCTTACCAACACCAAAAATGACGTGCCAACTTGACTTCGTGTGTCATGACATGTGACGATGACATCGTTAAGTATGATGTATAAAATTCCCACTCAACCTCAAGGCTGATAAAACTCGGATTTTAAGCCCCATATTTTAAAAATATTTTATTTTTTTAATGTATTTTTAAAACCCAAAATTCAAAAAGTTAAAAAAGAAAATATTACTCAAAAATTAATTTATATTTACAAAAAAAAAATTTCGACCATATATTCCCCCCTATCTCCCCCCATGAAAAAACAAAAACCAAAACTTACTCTTCCCGTAAAACAAATGAAAAAGTTAAAGGGCAACGCTATTAATATATACTTTGAAAACTTAATAATTTCGGACATTGGATTGTCGGTGAGTCTAAAATTGAATACATTTCACTATCAATTCAACAATCATCCTCAAATTATGTATAACATTAGTGAAAGCTAAACCCTTTCTCTCTCTTATTAACACTAGTAAAGACCCTCACTCTCTAATATAACACGTCATTCATTGATCTCACACATATAAAAAATTTAAAATAAAAAGTTTTAAAATTAAAAATAAAAAGGCATCTCATATTGTGATATCACATCATCAATGTTATGTGGTGTACACGGACTAATGACAAAATACTAAGTGGAATTAGTGAATTCTATTATTTCAATAACTAACAATAACCACTTTTATACTATTGAAAAAGTAGGGTTCACTAATATAATTGCTTGCTGACACAATGTAGTATCGATGACATCATGTCATTATTATAGCTAATATTGGTAGTCGACGAGTTCGTGCCGAACTTAATTTTTTTTTTTTTTAATTAAACCTAAAAAATTGTTCAAATTCAACTTGTTTAAAAAACGAATCGAGTCTGTTGTGTTTATTTTTCAAACAAGCCAAATTCAAGTCAAAAATAAATTAAAAAAATTACTCAAATTTGGTTCATTTTCTCATGCTTAAATGAGCCAAAAATGAATTAAACCTAAACTAAACTCGAGTAGCCGACTTTAATTAGCGGCCATAGTTACACCCGATATTTACTCCCTCACACAGCCTTAAACAGCTCTAAACAGCCCCTGGATGGACACCGTCCATTCACTGCTCCTGACCAAGTCTTTCCGCTTACAAGTCTTTGCCCTCTTTTTTCCACTGTTGGGATCAATAAAACTTGGTACAACCAAGTGACCAACTACTCCTCATCTCTCTCTCTTCAGAAGCCATGTCCATCTCTGCAGGCAAAGGTGCTCATATCTTGGTCTTCCCCTACCCAGCCCAAGGTCACATCCTACCAATTCTTGACCTAACCCACCAACTTGTCCTCCATGGTCTAACCATAACCATCTTGGTCACACCCAAGAACCTCCCAATCCTGAACCCACTTATCTCCACCCACCCATCAATCCAAACCCTTGTTTTTTCCTTCCCACACCACCCTCGAATCCCTGATGGAGTGGAAAACGTCAAGGACATGGGCAATTTCGGAAATGTCTTCATCATCAATGCACTGAGTAAGCTACGTGACCCAATAATCCAGTGGTTTAAGTCTCACCCTACACCCCCTGTTGCTCTGATCTCTGATTTCTTCCTTGGGTGGACGCAGAACCTGGCCCACGAAATTGGTATCCCCAGGATTGTTTTTTACAGTTCTGGACCCTTTTTTACCTCTGTTTTGATCCATTGTGTTTTCAATATAAAGACTCTTCGTTCTCTGAGGGTGGTAGAATTTTCTGATTTACCTCGATCGCCGAGTTTTATTGAAGAACATCTGCCTTCCATAGTCCGGCGATACAGGGAATCGGATCCTGAATGGGAATTTGTTAAGGATGGCATGATTGCAAATATCTCGAGTTGGGGGTCCGTTTTTAATTCCTTTGATGGGTTGGAAGGTGAGTATATGGCGTACTTGAGGAAGAAAATGGGTCATGGGCGTGTTTACGGGGTCGGGCCAGTTAGTTTGGTGGCTGATTCTTCGGTTCGGGACGACCCAATTTCGGATCATAGTGGTGTAATGGAGTGGTTTGATGGATGCCCTGATGGGTCAGTTTTATATGTGTGCTTTGGGAGCCAGAGGTTCCTCAAGAGGGACCAAATGGAGGCCTTGGCTTATGGACTTGAACAGAGCGGAGTCCGGTTCGCTTGGGTGGCCAAGAACATAACGGCCCAACAAGAGACAGACGGGTATGGGTCTATCCCAGACGGGTTTGAGGAGCGGGTTACTGGGAGGGCTATAGTGATGAAAGGGTGGGCCCCGCAGGTTTCGATACTGAGTCACCGAGCCGTAGGTGGGTTTCTGAGTCATTGCGGGTGGAACTCGGTGTTGGAGGCATTAGTGCGTGGGGTGATGATACTGGCCTGGCCCATGGAGGCTGACCAATTTGTGAATGCTAAGCTTCTGGTGGAGTACATGGGGGCTGCTGTCCTGATGTGTGAGGGTGAATTTGCAGTACCCGACTCAGATGAGTTGGCTCGGAGAATTGCTAAGTCAATGAGTGGAAACTCGAGTGAAAAGGTGAGAGCAAAGGAGCTGAGAGACAAAGCATTGGAAGCAGTTAAGGTTGGTGGGAGTTCCTCAAGGGATATGGAAGTGCTTGTCAGAGATTTTGCCCAACTTCTGGTGACAAAAGGTGGATGATCAGACAGACAATAGATGGTTACTCATCTCTATAATAAACCTTACAAAAATAATTCTGGTGAACGAGTCTTTTGTCATTAGATCGAAGAAGTATTGTACCCAATAAACCACTTACTTAATGTACTTTGCTTTGGGCCTAAAAGGTCGAATCTTTGATCGATAATTTGAACCCCAATCTATGGTACGCTGGTGTCCACACCCTGGGCTTAGATATGGACCTGATCTTGGGCTTTTTGTAAAACAGTTCACTGTCGTGCAATTTGGTCGGATTTCCGATCCAACCCAGACCGACCAAAATATTTAGTAGTTGGACAGATATTTGAATTGTTCGGGTTTAAGACTAGACTTGTCACACTTGCATTATTGAGAACACTACAGCCGCAAGTGTGAATAATAATTAGGGTTTTCTTTAGAGACTAAATCAAATGGTGGACAAATGTATAACAATTGTCACTATGAGGTTCAAGTATTACGAGGTTTAAAGAAGGAATCACATGCCAAACTTAATAGTACGCCAAAGTGGATCTGTCGTTGATTAAATGACTTAGTAAAGTAGGTACCGGTTTTAGTAGCTTCGTTTTTGTTTGGTGGAAAATGGTTTTTTTTTTTTATTGCTTTAAGAAATAAAATTCTATTTTTTAATTGGCTGACTATAAATTCTGCAATAAATATTAGGGGTTCCGTAAAAAAACTTACATTTTAAGTCAGTTTCAATCATACCCGTTGTATAAAGAGAACTAGACTGCTCTCTGACCCACTTTTGTCTGTCTTTGAGAGAGTCATTATAACTTGAATTGAACTATGAAAAGAACTCCCATATGGCCATATGAGCCCCACTCCAAGAGCAAGTTGCAATACAAAAACAAAACAAAGCCAATCAGATTTGGCTGCCACGTTCATTGCCATCCAAACTACTAATTATCTTGGGTTTTCTTTTAGTGTCTGCGATGGCATATAAGAAGAGACCTTGTTTGCCTGAAATTGACAACTGATAGAAGACCTTCAACAAACATATATATATGCTTATCTTCTTCTAGGACAACTTCCATTTTCACGTATAATTCTGTCTTTGAAATTTAAGCAAAAGGGCGAGTTAAGTTCTCAAATATCGATTCCAAATCCTTTCAAAATGACGAGTCAACTTTTTAATGACTCACCATTCTTTCTCTTCGTCCAATCTCTTACTAGGCACCTCATGAACATATGCATAACCAACAGCACGAATTACTCATCATTGTGATGGTTGAGAAAATATTCTCACCTCTATGTACAAAAGAGGTTGTTTATATCACATGAACCAATGATGCCTATGTCACAACGAATGTTTGATCCTTTTCTCCTGATCAGTTAAAGGCAACAGGAGACTTTTTACAATCTATCACTTTCTGTTTGCCACAAGATGAACAACACTCAAAACATGTAACTGGAAATATAAAGCAGACCCTCCTCTTTCAGCACACATTCTTATTCTATTGACCATCCTATTTCCTCCGAGGTAGTTGTTAGTAGCTATGCACCTTATGCTAAAAGTCACCTGCAAATTGAATTCAAAATCAACCGCCTAGGGATCTACATCCGTTGTTTGCTTCTAATCGACAACTTTCCTATTCTTTAATGAGAAGCCACGCAAACAGCAATTACGTATGGTAAAACCATTCAACAGATAATATCGGAACTCCATTTGTAGCAAAGGCAACAACTAACTCGAATCCTCAAATACCAGAATGCAACAAAAATCATACAATTAAAATCATTTTCTGCCACCTACTTATATTACAGATCCAAATCACCACCCATCAATACATTTTCTGACCGGCTGTAATCCACTTTCAGCGTGGCTGCCCAAATCATGCTACAACATCACTTTACACTGAAAAGTGAACACAATTATGCAGCTATAACCATCACGCCCTTCCTTATCTACTTCTCCATCAATTTCACAACTTCACATCTTGAGCTAAAAGAAAAACAACGAATGATTGCAAGCAAGTCCAAGAAACAGAGAGTTCATTATTTACAAGACATTTTTTTCAATTTCATTCAACAAATTATTTATCAAACACGTCCACAGTGAGAGGAAAAAGAGAGAAAAAAAAAAAAAAACAACCGAATCTACTCAGCCCTTCCACTGGGCTGCCTCGGTGAATATTTACAGCATTTCCTCCTATGTCAGGTCCCTACTACAACTACTTCCGGTAGAGTATCCATAAACCAAGCCTACCCTAAGAGTCGTTCACTCCGACAAGCCCATATTTGTCTCTAGTCATGCTTCTACAACAACATGTAGTTATACCCCTCTCAAAACTGACACGAGGTCCCAAGCCTCTGTCTCTGCTTCTGTCCAAGTGTCATGGACTTCCGCTTGGCAAATGCTGGGTACAGCAGCTGTTGGACCCTCTCTAAAAACAGTGCCCACTCCTCCTCGCTCATGTCTGCTAGCTTCACAAAGCTCACACTCGCAGGAAGCTGCTCATTTGCACTCCTATGGCCAGATGATGAATTAGCCAGATAGCCATTTTCTCGTTTTGCTCCTGATAATTTCTGGTTCTTCTCACCAAAACTGATATTCTTGAGGGACATTGGTAGCTTAGAAATAGTTGGGATCTTTCCCGGGGATGGAAGGCCTACAAATTTCTTTTCATCTTCTTCGTCATCACTCTCCTCCTCGATGCTTTCCTCTATTCTTGAAAATGGGCAACGGACATTACCACCTCCGAATCCAAAATGGAATGGCATCCCAGTCATGTAGCCCTCCGATGCCATCTTCCGGGCAAAGTCAAATCCGGCTTCTTCACAGTCTATATCAAATAGAAACTCCTCATCTTCTTCTTCAGCCTTGGTGGATAACACCTCCCTCTCAGCTATCAGCATCCTTGCCTCCATACATACAACTTCGAGCTCGCTCGGTTCCTCCTCATCACCACGAAACTCCCTGCTCATCATCTCACCAATCTCAGAAAGACACAGACCAGAAGCAGCAGCTCCCTTGAGGAAAACGGTGCAGAGAACCAAGACTCGGAGGCAAGCCTCTCGAATCATGGGGAGCTCACTTCGGAGCATCTCACAATCCCTATTAGGATCAAGATTCTCTATGTACTCAAGCTCATCCTCAGAAAACGGTATTGAAGCTTGCGGCCAGTGGATCCACTCGAAGTATGGATCCTCCAAACTTTCTGGCAAGCAGAGACCGTGATCAATAGGTATGAGTTCCACTAGACCAAACCTCCCAACTCCATCAAGCTTCCTCACCAAAAGGTTTCCCCCATGCCTATCTGTGTTGAAAATCCTAATGTCTAAAATCCCAATTCGATGTACTGCAGCAACAGGGAAGCTTGAGGTCCCATGGTCACTGGCATCAAAATCATGTGGGATGAACTGTTGAAAAGAGGCAATCTTGCTAACAAGCTTCTTGTTTTGAGGCCTGTTTCCATTTACCCCATCATTGACATTGAAGATTGAATGAGTGATTTTCACCAGTGCAGTGGGAGGTACACTAGCAAAGTGATCATAGTCAAGAAGAAAAGCAGCAACTTCTCTGAACCCTGTTTCCCCAACCCGCACTGAACGTTTCAAGCCTGGTTGCCCCAAAGCTTTACCCACAAAGCCTTTCGGATTGTTTGGTGCAAATGGTTCTTCATCCGTTGGCTTCACAATGGCAACACTCTCACCTCTGCTGTTTCTGAAGTAGTATGCACCTCCAAGGCCACCATGAACAGGGATTGGATCAACCCCAATCTTCATCGCCTTGACAATTTCCTTGACAAGTTGTTTTGTACTGACAAAGCGAAGTGAGTGCCCCAAGATCTCAATTGGACCACTCTGATCTCTCTGTTGCATATCCCTTCCAGTAGGCGAAAGACAAGGAGTTGACGAACTTCTATGCAATACATTCCGTGTTAGAAGAAGAGGGTAATCCTTTCGCACAGCACTGAGGTCGTTCTTCAACTCCATATCACCAAACGTCAATGAACTCTCCTCAGTAGGAACATTGAGGGCAAGCTGCAACCGCTTCTTCACAGTATGTGCATTGTCACTCCGATCTAACTCCATCCCCAATACGCAACCGGTCTCAGTTTGTACAAAAACCCGTCTCCTCCCTGCAGGATTCCCTTCCATCCTATTGTTTCCATGGTACTCCGTGCCCAGTGGGCTCTTAAAGACTGCCACAGCCATCTGGGTCTGAACAGGGCTATCCAAGTTAGGAGACATGAAAGGAAGAGAAAGAACGATGATGGTGTTCACAACCGGCAACAGAGATGGCGGCAAAAGAGAGCTTCTTCTTCACTCTCAAATGGACGCCAAACTCAGAAGCCGATTGCAATTGGGTGAAATACAGGAACAGCTCACAATCGATCATTAATCAATGAAGTAGAATCCAAACCTCTCTGAAGATATCACGGCACAATAACAGGAACAGAAAAAGGGAGGTGGCTCTATTACTACATTGAAAAAGCCATCTGAATGGGCGGACAAACCAGCAGACAAAGCTCTGTCAAAAAAATAAGATTGAATCACAAAAAATGACAAACGAATAGGATGTATCGAATCAAGATTTGTACAGTACAAACACTATACGGAGTATTAATCACGAGAAACTCAATCTGAGCTCTTAATCAAGATGATCGTCCAGTAAAAGATCGATACTGAAAGATTCTAAGGCATGAAGTATATATGAACGAAGTCGCTATTCTTCGGACAATATAAATAGTAGGTTTATCGGTTCATCCAATTTAAGCCTAGGCCAGTCTAACACTGAAACTTCTCATACAGCTTCTAGGCAACCAAAATTAAGCGTAAATCAAAAAATTAGAACATAATCATAGTGACAAAAATGACATTCTACATTTGTTAAGCAAGAAATTAGCATTTCCATAATCACTCTCAATCTCTAAAATTTAGATACCTCGGACACTAACTAGATACCAACCCCCACTAAAGAATAGTACTAAAATTTCCTGACCTACAGGCATTGAACACTCAAAACTAGACACAACAAAAAGGCTGAAAAATCCAATATGTGGAAATGTATTATTGTTAAGAAACAGAAAGAATTCTAAAATAAGACAAATTTTCCTTAGTAACTGATGCAACTCTGAAATATCTAATCGAATCGATCTCCACACCACCTCAACGGCAGAAAAGCAGCATTGAGAGATCCAACAAAAATCAAAGAAATCAACTCACCAGACGGCCAGATCTGAGCAATCCTCTCTCTCTCACCCCGCAATACCCAAGAATCCAAACCGTTGATGAACAACGTCCTAAGATTCAAATCTCCAAGGGTCCGAATCAGAAGAAGTTCCAACCGCTAGGATTCGATTGAAGTGTGCCCTAAATCCTCTCGTCCAAGCCACCAAAACCCTCCTCTTCGCCCTTTCTTGTTTAGTGCCCCTCCTCTTCTCCGAATGTTCCTTTAACACCTACCTCTCTCTCTCTCTCTCTCTCTCTCTCTCTCTATAGAGTTACTAACCCTGGTTAGATCAAATGACTCTCTTTCGCAAACCCTAGTTATCCTCTCTCTCTCTCTCTCTCTCTCTCTCTCGATTTAGAAGAGTCTAGAACAAGGAATCGTGGCCGTTGATGTGGGAAAGAGCGAAGAGATATAGGCGTTCATTTGGGAGGTGACGTGGAGATAAGTCATTGGTCAGTGACGTGGCGGTCTAAGCGCTGAAAGGGGAATGGCAGCGAATGGGCGTTTTTACTATTTCTGACACCCAATTGACCATTTGACCTGAACGAAAGCGAGTACGAAGTTTTATTCAATGTATCACGCGTGGAGGGATGGACAATGGATTGCAGTGGACCCACCGGCAAAAATATTTGGGGCTTGTTTGTTTGCCGGATATACGAGGTAATAAGAGGTGGGGTAGAGGAAATAGTATCTGGCTCACCTATGGTTGATATTTTATTTGCAGTATTATTTGTTAGTTAGGTTGTTATATCAATTCGGTTTGTATAGTGACACTTAACTCTTATATATTGGTTTAATCAATACTATCTATCTATAGGGTAATATTATTTATTGGTATAAATTAATCAACAGTATAAATAAAAAAAATGATACAAATACCCTCTTGTGCAGAGTTCACATAATAAAAAAATTATCATTGGATTTTTTTTTTAAAATTATTTTAAATTTTTTCCTTGTATTATATTTAAGTGTACGGTGTCGGTGTCACCATTTTTTTTTAATTTTTTATTTAAAAAAATTATTTTGAATTTTTTTTTGTATTATGTTTAAACGTACGAAGTCACAATTGTTTTTTTATTTTTTATTTTTAAAAAATTATTTTAAATTTTTTTTTCTTATATTATGTTTAAGCGTACGGTGTAACTGACTTTTTAAAAAAAAAAATTAATTTTTTTTACAGTGTCACCGATTCACAGCATCAAATTCTTTATTTTTTATGTGAATTTTTTACATTATTCAAAAATTTTTAAATATGGATTGTCATACCATGTATTATATTACATATTGTATAAAAGCGTTACACAAACAGAATAATAAAATAGATAATGTTAAGGGTAAAATTGTATATTTATTATATAAGATGTGATAAAATAAATGATTATTTATTAGACCCATTATAATACCTATTGAACAAATAAATATGTGATGAGATTGAAATACTTTCTATTATTGCTATTAATTTTCATTAGTATTTAAAATGTAAAAAATACATTTCTTAATATCATGCATATCAATATTCAAAACAACACATCCCCTTGGTAGATTTAGATTTATCCAAGGTTGGATGGGCATGGGCAAAATGGGTAAATTACACCAATACCATCAGCAACTGAAGTTTATCTTTATTTTTAGGGTAAATTGTATTTTATACCCTCATTGGTCCCTAACCTATCAAGTAAAAGGATCAAGTCCTTAAATTTTAAATTCTATTTCAATTAAGTCATTAGATTGAATTTGTCCGCAATTCTAAAGGAAAAGAGTTACATGAGTGTAACATGATCCAATTATGGGATTAAGTTTTAATAAATTTGTTCTAAAGTTAGAGTTTATGCATTAAAATTATATTTGTTACCTTTTTTTCTTTGAAAGTAAAAAAATAAAAAAATAGATTTCAAATTTAGCTTATTTGATATAGATTGAACTAGTTCAATTGGATGTATTAACTCAAATATTACAGATTTGACGCAAATTTATGTTAATTTGGTCAAAATTATTTATGTGATTGAGGCACGTAATACTCACGCAATGCTTTTTCAACATAATTACTAATGAATTCTGACGTAGAGAGTTAATTGAAACTAGTTGTGAAATTTAAGGACTTGATTGTCATAATTGATAGTTAAAGGATCAAATAAAAATTAAGTGTAAACTTTGAGGGTATAAATTATAATTTACCCTTATTTTATTTTTTTATCAAGGATTTTTTAGTTTTAATTTCTGTTAACAAAGATGAATAAACTCAAATCCGGATTGCTTACTAGATATGGGCATCCACTAGGAGTTGCCTTGTTTTTGTGATCAAAACAAATTTATATATCTATTCGAGATGGTTAATCCTATTTTAAGAGGGTGAAAATTATCGATTAATCCTATTTCTCTTAAAAGATGGCTTCAACAGACTAATTATTTGACTATCTATTTCTCGTTGCCCCTTTTTCGCTCGATAACTCTAGTTAGCTCACATCTCTCTCGCGCGCCTCTCTCTGCATCTCCAAGATTGACCACAAAACTTCTTCAAATTTGTTCTCTCGTGTGCCTCTCAGACCATCGTTTTGCCTGGTTGATTAGAGTAACATACAAGTGCCTTTTTCAATTATGATTAGGAAATAGTATACGACCCAACCTTGTCGATGGAGCTGTCAACGAATCACCTCATATCCTATGTTTAAACTAACAAATTGGATAGTCTAACGATCGAGCTAGATCGTGGGGATTTGTTTTATATTTTAAGGAATTTGTATAAAAAATCATTCAATTCATATATAACTCATTAATAAATAGCTGCAAATTACAAAATCAAACACGACATGACCCGTCTTACTCCGCCAATTCTACAACACCATAAATTTTCAATTTAAAAGTCCTAATTTTATAATAAATTATCTCTAGCATGAATTGATGTTGATATGCCTTTAGATTAAATTGGATTCTAAATTATGAAATACCAAATAATGTGTGCTTATAAATTAATACAAAAGGTGGTTTTGGGGGGGGGGGACGTGTGCGAGGCGGCAGTGTGTGTGAACTTTGTCGGAAGAAAGGCCGTGTAGGGCGGTCGGAGATAGGGGTTTTGGTCCCCTATAATGCTAGAGTTACCACCTCCATCTGGAGTTAGGTTCAACGTATACTGTTGCTCTGTGAATCAAATATATATATGTGCCTCCATACAGTCAACCAACAAGCCAAGACTGCACATGATAGTGGCTCGTGGGAACCACTCGGTATTATCCTGTCACGTGCTTTGTCGGTCCCACTTTAGTTGTTTTGCTTATCCTTTTTCACCCCGCCATACTTCATATGTAGTTTATTCTGTTACTTTTTATACATTGTTCCCCTAAAAGAGTTTTAGGATAATAATATAAGGGTTAATTACAAAATTGCTCTATAAAGTTTAGGTCACATTCAATCAATTCTCTCTAATTTTAGTTTTAATAATTTTTCCCCTCAAAGTTTGAATCTTTCTAAATTAAATCAAGTTGTTAATTTTGATAGTGAAAAATGACAAAAAACATTCATTCACAAATCATATGATTTTAAATTCTACAAAGAGATAAGACCATCCTTTACATCATTTTGTCTTGGGAAAAATAATGACGAGTTTTTTGATGTGAGGAAAAAATTTCAATGTAGGTTAATTTTCTCTTTTCAATAAATTTGAGATCAGGTGACTTAATTTTCATTATTTTTCATTGTCGAAACTAACAATTTGAGTTAATTAAAAAATGAACAAACTTTGAGGGGATAATTTGTTAAAATTCAAACTAGAGGGAATTGATCCAAATTTGAAGGAGACATTTTATAATTAACCCATAATAATAATAGGGAAAATCTCAGTTTACACTATAAAAGATTTAAGATTTTTATTTTATATTTTTTAAAATTAAATTTCTCACATTACATGTTGAATGTATTAAAAGTGTTGTAAAGTGACTATTTTATCAATTTTTGTTGCTTGTTCCATAAAAAATCATCACAATAACATTAACAAAATAAGTAACAAAAATTAATGAAAATGTCACATTAACAAAAGGGTATAATGTGAAAAATTTAATTTTTAAAGGTGTAAACTAAATATTTTTTTTAATCTTTTGAAATGCAAATTATAATTTGTAAAATTTTTTTTTTTACTCAACGGTTAGAGTGTCCAAGCCAGCTTACGTGCACTTCGACTAATCTGTTGTCCAGGCCAGCTTACGTGCACCTCGACTAATCTACTCATTGGTCTGATTAAATTTGCTCAGTTATTTAACTGTCTTTACACATTGCCAATTTGATAAAATCTTTTGGGCGCGAGATTTTGAGGGATTTATTTTTTATAAATACCCTAATCGCAGTGGATGAGATGCTTTTAATTAAATTGATAAATAATTAGTTAAAATTTGCATAAATTAGTCCAAACATTCCTCACCGTTAAAAAATAAAAAGAAAAAAAATTACTTGTATTTAGCTTCAAGCCAAAGTACTTGTGTAACAAAGACTTGACTCTATTTCCTATGTTTTGTCAAAATTAAACAAAGGTCAACATATTTTTGGCTTTAATGTACCAAAGTCATGGTTCATGGTCCATCACAACAATCCACCAAGTGAAAAACACGACTTAAGATGACAAAATTTTAGGAAATGGTTAGCATTACTTAAGAATGAAGTTTCAATTTGTTCTAGCAAATTTTTCTCGGATCGGACGGGATGGATCTTCTTATGACCCATCCCCTAAGCCCAGATTCCTTATATGTAGAGGTGATAATATTAACTCATTATCAATTAATCCGTCCATAAATAAATGGGTTGGGTAACTATATTAATTAATATGGATTCTAAATGAATTGAGTACCTATATTAATTAAAATTAAAAAGGTTAATATGGATTATAAATGGGTACCTATTGAGTTGAGTATTTATCTTTTCAATAAATAACATAAGTAATAAAAATAAATAAATATACTAATACACCTAAAAATATACATACTGTTATACCAAAAAATACACACACATACACTAATACACCAAAATATACACGCACTAGTACACAAAAAACACACACACTAATACACCACCCATGACCCACCCCATAGCCCATGGGTCAACCCATAACTCATGAATCAACCCCTTTCAATGGGTTGACCCACGATCCATTATATGTGTATATATATATATATTTTTATTAAATATATTTTAGTTTTTGTGTTAGTATATGTGTGTGTATTTTTGGTATATTTAGTTAATATATTTTTAATGTATTAGTTTGAGTGTGTTTTGGTGTGTTTATATTTTAGTGTAATACTAATGTGTGTGTGTGTGTTTTGGTGTACTAATGTATCTATTAATAATTTTAATTATTTTATGGGTTAATCGGTTTAACCCAATCCGCTATAAATTCANCTCGACTAATCTGTTGTCCAGGCCAGCTTACGTGCACCTCGACTAATCTACTCATTGGTCTGATTAAATTTGCTCAGTTATTTAACTGTCTTTACACATTGCCAATTTGATAAAATCTTTTGGGCGCGAGATTTTGAGGGATTTATTTTTTATAAATACCCTAATCGCAGTGGATGAGATGCTTTTAATTAAATTGATAAATAATTAGTTAAAATTTGCATAAATTAGTCCAAACATTCCTCACCGTTAAAAAATAAAAAGAAAAAAAATTACTTGTATTTAGCTTCAAGCCAAAGTACTTGTGTAACAAAGACTTGACTCTATTTCCTATGTTTTGTCAAAATTAAACAAAGGTCAACATATTTTTGGCTTTAATGTACCAAAGTCATGGTTCATGGTCCATCACAACAATCCACCAAGTGAAAAACACGACTTAAGATGACAAAATTTTAGGAAATGGTTAGCATTACTTAAGAATGAAGTTTCAATTTGTTCTAGCAAATTTTTCTCGGATCGGACGGGATGGATCTTCTTATGACCCATCCCCTAAGCCCAGATTCCTTATATGTAGAGGTGATAATATTAACTCATTATCAATTAATCCGTCCATAAATAAATGGGTTGGGTAACTATATTAATTAATATGGATTCTAAATGAATTGAGTACCTATATTAATTAAAATTAAAAAGGTTAATATGGATTATAAATGGGTACCTATTGAGTTGAGTATTTATCTTTTCAATAAATAACATAAGTAATAAAAATAAATAAATATACTAATACACCTAAAAATATACATACTGTTATACCAAAAAATACACACACATACACTAATACACCAAAATATACACGCACTAGTACACAAAAAACACACACACTAATACACCACCCATGACCCACCCCATAGCCCATGGGTCAACCCATAACTCATGAATCAACCCCTTTCAATGGGTTGACCCACGATCCATTATATGTGTATATATATATATATTTTTATTAAATATATTTTAGTTTTTGTGTTAGTATATGTGTGTGTATTTTTGGTATATTTAGTTAATATATTTTTAATGTATTAGTTTGAGTGTGTTTTGGTGTGTTTATATTTTAGTGTAATACTAATGTGTGTGTGTGTGTTTTGGTGTACTAATGTATCTATTAATAATTTTAATTATTTTATGGGTTAATCGGTTTAACCCAATCCGCTATAAATTCAACCCATTATAACTCATTTATTAGGTGAGTGAAAAATAGATTTGATTTATTTTAGCCCAGTCTACCCATTTGCCACCCCTACTTATATGTTTGGCAAAAAGGGGGAGCTGATCTTTTTGTAGGATTTATTATTTGAGAAAAAGTTCAACTAAAAAAATATTTTGAATATAAGTCCACTTTAAAGTAAAATGTTAATAGTAGTCTTAAGCACAATTATAGATCCTTCAAAATCGGTTAAGAAACTGAAACATCACAACCCTAATTAAACGTTAATCGGTCACCACTCCCTCTCAAAAAACGGACGTCGGATCCATTAACGGATGGGAAATCTCGTTGCTTTGTAATTTGAAAAACAAATCTAGTCAATTTTCGGTACTCCGTCTCTTGCGGATTCATGGAATTAAGCGTCAAAAGACTACTCCATTGTGCTATAAAAGATTAAAGAACATAGCATCTAAGTGGTTTGAAGCTTCCACCATCGGAACTACTGGATTGAAAGCTTTTATAGTTGGAACTATTGGTTTGTTATAGTCACACTTTTTTTGAGTAATTTGTCGCATTATTTAATATGTTATTTTTCAATAACGTGTCACACTTTTTAATAACTTGTCACATTATTCAATATATTTTTACATTACTTTTGAGTGTTATAGCCACACTTAGTGTATGTTGAGTGTTTTATGAATTGGGGTCAAACTCCATGCCTATGTTCCAAATTAGTAGAAGTAAAACAAACATTTATCCACTTTCGAACGAAAAGTATCATTTATCCCCATCACAAAGACTCATTTTACTCGCGCTTATAAAATGTTAATATTTCAATCGCAAAGATTTTTATAATTCGATTGAGTATGCGATTTTTTTACTCGACGTTGAATCACATAAATCCATACAGTTGTATTTAAGTTAATCGATGTTAAGTTCTGCCCAACTAATATCCGATCATCTTATAATGATGTATAATCGATTTCTTGTTGTGTTGAGATTATGCTATACGCAAATCATATTTAATCGAGTTTGTGTTACCTAATTTATTCAACAGGCCAAAAAATCCTCCAATTTGTTTAAGAGGGAGTTGTGATGGGGCATAAAATACAGATTCGGATTGCTGGCCAAAGCATAAATATCTCAATTAAACAGTTACAATAAATTAAGTAGCATATTTTCTAACCAAATTAAATTAATTAATTATTTTTTTATATTGTCTAAGATAATCAATTATAGGAAATTTATATTTATTTTTGGTATTTAGTTATCGAATTATACAAATTCTTCCCAACATGATAAAAGGTATTATTAGATATAATTTATTAATCTAATCCACTACTTCCCTTTAATTAGTAGCTAGTTCTAACAAATATTAAAACTCACTATCAATCCAACGATAAAAAAATAGTGTTTATTTTGGACAACAATTCTAAAATAAAAGTATTTCGAATTAAACTTCAAAAAAAAATAAAAAATTCTCCTAAGGTATGCATTTATTATATTTATATGATGTTTGGAATGTTGCTTATCAGGTGTTTGATAAATTGCGTAAATGAATTTTGTCCAGACCTGGACTGGAAGTGGCAACCCCAATTGAAACCCGAAATTAAATTGGAATTGAACTCGGTATTGTATCACGAATGGAGCCCAATTCAAAGTAAATACACGGGTGTTGTATCATACTTCTTCTGCGAGAGGATCTTCTTCTCCTTCCAGGATTTGTAATATGGTTCTAGGAGTTCTACATGGAAAGGAATACAGATGCCATGGCGTATTTATATTATATTGATACCTTAATCTTCCAGTACATGTGAGCCATGACCTTCACGAAGGAATTTTCAACAAGTTGGGGTTGGCTTCCAAGGGACCTTTTGGATTCAATTCTTGATAACATGATTACAATCTCCGACTATGTCCGGTTTAGTGTTGTCTGTAAGCCATGGTACTCTGTTGCCATTCACCGTCCGAAGCATTGGCGTCTCAACATCATTCACGACAAGGTTCCATTGCTGATGCTTCCTCCTAATTTCCCTACTAGCAGTAGTAGTCCCGAAGGAACGCGTAGCTTGTACAGAGTCACAGAAAATAAAGTGCACAACTTCAAAATCCCATTCTCTTACAATAAGAGAATTTGTGGCTCTTCACATGGTTGGCTCTTCACTGTAGAAGAAAACATGAGTTTAGTCCTCATTAATCCTTTTTCTGGTGGGACTATTCGACTCCCCCCTATTCGAACCATTCCGGATATCGAGTTCGAGGAGGTTGATGGCTATGAAGTTGTCAAGGCTTCACTGACAGCAGACCCTATTTTGTTTCCAAATGATTATACAGTTGTTGCAATCTGTGGTGGCACAAACATTTTAGCATACATTAAATCAGGTGACCAAAGTTGGAGTTATGTTAATACACCATACCACCATTGGCTAACTGATTTCGTCAGTTATAAAGGCCTTATATATGCTGTGGACATTTGGGGTGTGGTTTTATCCTTTGATATTAGTGGAGTTGAAGATAGCCATTCATCGTCGCCATCGTCGTGCATAAAGGAGGTTGCACCATCAATGTCTGTTATGTCCGATGTGACATATATTGTCGAATCATCAGCAGGTGATCTGATGCTTGTTCAAAGGTTTGTCGTCCCTGCCAGCTATGGTGACAGTCACTTTCTGTCTTCCAGTTTCAGGATTTTCAAGATGCAGTTCGGTCCTAACGGGGACGTCGTAGAGATGGTTGAATTGGAGAGCCTTGGTGGTGATGCCCTATTCTTAGCCAATAACTTTTCAACTGCTGTGTTGGCTTCTGATTTTGTAGGATGCCGATCAAACTCTATATACTTCTCAGATCATAATTACTCCATGATTGAACACTCTCCTTATTTCCTAAGCCATGACTTTTGGATCTTCAACTTTGGGGATTGCAGCATCGAAATACTCTGCAAGCTACACCCTTCACCAAAGCACATGGTGCTTGGCACTTGGATTTTGTCAACACTGCAGGGATTGCCATCTTCATCTGAGTGACCTTTTATTTTCCTTTGTTCTTGGCCTTTGGTTTTGCTTTTTTAAATGTGTTGTATCGATTATACTACATCATCTTAAATGATATCTTTTTTTTTTTGTGTTTAATAGTCAAGGGTGTTTAGGTCAAGATTACGCGCACTTCAACTAATTTCCTACTCGGTCCAGTCAAAAGTAGGCAACTATAATTTCCTTTCTGGTCCGATCATAAGAGGAATAAATTCTTTATGGCCTGACTCCAAGGGTTACCAAAATTCGAACTCAAGACGTCTGAATTTACAGCTTGTCCCTTTTATCACTTGAGCTATCTTTTAAGGCTGTCATCATAGATGATATTACTATTCAATAAAATTGAATCCACTAAATCATGTGTTTTTTATTGGTTTAAATAAAACTGAATTTCATTTATACGAAGAATTGGCATTACTGCTCTCAGGGGAAAATAACAAATATACTATCTGCGTATCAAGCATATGGGTAAAACAGCACACTCCTTTGGATCAACACAAGGTACAGCAGAGCAGTTTTCCAACTCATAAAAAAACAGAGATCATCAACTTAATCAGTTTTTTTTTTGGGTGCAATGTCAGAAAATAGTAGCAAGTTCAAGCATACATTTGACACCACGTATTGATGATAACGTGATATCAATGTTGTAACGAACCATTACACATTTTCTCAATCTTTTGTAAATTTATAAAAATACCATTGCTGATGCTCAAGTCCACAAACCATGGCACCCTGCTAGCGGTCCACCACTATAGCAGAGTCAGCTGAAAAAGCCCGTTCTATTTTATTCATAACGTCCGAATGCCTTTCTTTGTTGAATAAGGTTTGAAACCATGTCCCTCTGTTCAAGTATACCTTTCTACTTTTTTCTCATCTTTTCGGGACTATTCCACAGACGGGACTAGTCCACGAAAGCCGAATGCTCATAAAATCTCACAATTGCCCTCTGGGGCAAGGAAGTAAGCCCCATAACCCACTAAAAACAAATAGATTTTGCTACAAAACCAGGCTAATGGGGGTATTTTTGCGTAAGAGAACATATTAATAGAGAAGGTAATAGCCGAGATAAGATTCAATTTAGCTAGAGTGCCCAAATCTACTATATATTTGACATGGGTTTGCCGAACCCAGCTTGAAATCAACATGTGAGTTGATGCTTTGTATTGGAGTGATAGATGGGGAAACACGTTAAACAAATGGGTCGACTTGAACCAACAAAATATGACATGAATAGGCAAATACAACTTAAGGAATCCGACACATTTTAAACCTAATTGTAGACAATTACAAATGGGTATTGAGATAATTTTGGTACGCCCAACTTATACACGATACAAACATGTATTCATGTAGATATATCCAAATTTGGAAGCAAAACCATAATTGGAGGGGATATACATAGTACATACAATAACCTTCTTTTTATTTGAGGAATTGTATGAGTAATCACACTTCTTTTCCCAAAGGAAGTCTTCTGTTTTTAAGAGTCATATACTGCAGTTTTACGAGTTATAGTTGTACAAGATTATACATGCACGAAAACAAAAAAGACATTGATATCTAGATCTTCCTATTGGCTTTGTCATCAAGAACCTCTGTAGGTATGTCGGGCGAGGCTTTAAAGGGTGAGTTTTCATCTGGTTGGGCATGGCTTCCGAGGGACCTTTTAGATTCAATTCTTGATAAACTAGTCACACTCTTCGACTACTTTCAATTTAGTATAGTTTGCAAGCCATGGTTCACTGTTGCGAAGCATCGTTGTCTCGACACCATTCATAGAAAAATACCATTGTTGTTGCTCACTCCTAGAAGTGTTGAAGAAAACATTGGTTGTTTAGTCCTCATCAATTCAAGAAAACATTGGTTGTTTAGTCCTCATCAATTCAAAGGCGCCCAACACAAATTGCGGCCTAAAGTGAGAAAATATTTTACAGAGATTTGATATGATTTAATTTTAAAGTTTTAGTAATTTTTTGGTCGTAATTGTGAAGTAAAGATCTTACAGATAAATAAATTACATAAAGTCTGAAAGAAATAACAATATAGCTAAATATACGGACAAAAACTCAGAGTAAGATAATGAGACTCGGGGGTAAGAGAAAGAGTTGGAGTTAAGTGCTGAGAGTGGAGGGAAAATTAATGAAAAGAATTTGAGAGAGATTGCTATTTTTAAAGCTAGAAGTCAATAATTTTAGATTTTTTTAGAATACTTTGTTATATTTTAGAACTTTCTATAAATAGTTACATTGACTTGTGAAAATATTGTTATGTTTTAGGATTTTTCTATAACGCTTTAAATAGACTTATGAAATATATTTGACCTTTAACTTAATCCTTTCAAAAGGGCCTTAGAACATGAAACTAAACAAAAGGTTGAAAATTAAATTGGATCTCTAAATTTTTTAGACTCTAGGCAACTATTTTAATGGTAGGGCCCTAGGGCTGGTTAGGGGTGCAATTTGGGCGGGCCAACCTGAATTCAACCCGAGCCAACCCAAAAAACAAACAGGGCTTGAGTTAGAATTTTTAATATTTGGGTTGAGCTTGGATAAAAAACCCAACCCGAATTGAATTTGGGCAAATCTAAGGTTCAACTCAAATATTAAAATGGANGACATGAATAGGCAAATACAACTTAAGGAATCCGACACATTTTAAACCTAATTGTAGACAATTACAAATGGGTATTGAGATAATTTTGGTACGCCCAACTTATACACGATACAAACATGTATTCATGTAGATATATCCAAATTTGGAAGCAAAACCATAATTGGAGGGGATATACATAGTACATACAATAACCTTCTTTTTATTTGAGGAATTGTATGAGTAATCACACTTCTTTTCCCAAAGGAAGTCTTCTGTTTTTAAGAGTCATATACTGCAGTTTTACGAGTTATAGTTGTACAAGATTATACATGCACGAAAACAAAAAAGACATTGATATCTAGATCTTCCTATTGGCTTTGTCATCAAGAACCTCTGTAGGTATGTCGGGCGAGGCTTTAAAGGGTGAGTTTTCATCTGGTTGGGCATGGCTTCCGAGGGACCTTTTAGATTCAATTCTTGATAAACTAGTCACACTCTTCGACTACTTTCAATTTAGTATAGTTTGCAAGCCATGGTTCACTGTTGCGAAGCATCGTTGTCTCGACACCATTCATAGAAAAATACCATTGTTGTTGCTCACTCCTAGAAGTGTTGAAGAAAACATTGGTTGTTTAGTCCTCATCAATTCAAGAAAACATTGGTTGTTTAGTCCTCATCAATTCAAAGGCGCCCAACACAAATTGCGGCCTAAAGTGAGAAAATATTTTACAGAGATTTGATATGATTTAATTTTAAAGTTTTAGTAATTTTTTGGTCGTAATTGTGAAGTAAAGATCTTACAGATAAATAAATTACATAAAGTCTGAAAGAAATAACAATATAGCTAAATATACGGACAAAAACTCAGAGTAAGATAATGAGACTCGGGGGTAAGAGAAAGAGTTGGAGTTAAGTGCTGAGAGTGGAGGGAAAATTAATGAAAAGAATTTGAGAGAGATTGCTATTTTTAAAGCTAGAAGTCAATAATTTTAGATTTTTTTAGAATACTTTGTTATATTTTAGAACTTTCTATAAATAGTTACATTGACTTGTGAAAATATTGTTATGTTTTAGGATTTTTCTATAACGCTTTAAATAGACTTATGAAATATATTTGACCTTTAACTTAATCCTTTCAAAAGGGCCTTAGAACATGAAACTAAACAAAAGGTTGAAAATTAAATTGGATCTCTAAATTTTTTAGACTCTAGGCAACTATTTTAATGGTAGGGCCCTAGGGCTGGTTAGGGGTGCAATTTGGGCGGGCCAACCTGAATTCAACCCGAGCCAACCCAAAAAACAAACAGGGCTTGAGTTAGAATTTTTAATATTTGGGTTGAGCTTGGATAAAAAACCCAACCCGAATTGAATTTGGGCAAATCTAAGGTTCAACTCAAATATTAAAATGGAGTTGAACCCGAATATACATAAATATATAAATATATTTAATTAGAGTTAGTATTTATCTACACTCTTCAGAGTTCAAATTTTAGACTTTCACTTTACTTCAAGTCTTAACATTTGCGCATCCATCACTCCCAGATCTCTCTCTCACTCGTCACTCCTTCCTCTCTCACTCACTCTCTCTTCATCTGTGTCTCGCCCTGCATCTCAAATCACCTAAAAAAATCAAATCTACATTTCAAAAAATCAACTTGAATTAAGTAACCCCAGTCTAACCCGATTTTTAATCCAAAATTAGCCTAAATTTAATAACCCGAATTCAACTCAATCCCGCCCGAATTAAATCCGAGCAATACTCGAGTTGAGTATCTCGGGTTGAGATAGGGTAAGGGTTAGGATTGAAGAACATATGCCTACGATTGGGCTAGGGTTGACCTCTCAACCTGCCCAAGTTGCACCCCTAAGGCCAGTCCTGTTGTGTTTCCTTTTATTTAAATGATTGAAGTATCTGTGTATCTCGCAGCAATTGTAATCTTTATTAATCCCTCACTGTCAAGTCTTCGTCTATGAAACCGATTAAGTAAAATAAATTAATTATTGGATGACGCACAAGGATTAAAAGTAATATATGTATTATTTTATATTTTATGCATTTTTTCATCGACCATTATAAGGTATTGTTACAATAAAAAAGTTTAATATTATAATGTGGTCTCAAATAATTTTTCTATTTTAGTAATTTAGACATCTAATATACATTAAACATTATTGATTTTTTTTTATATTAGTTAATTTTTATTGTGGATCCTTTGTGAGAATGAAAATTTTAATTAGTTGGTATTTTTATGTTTAAATGAAAACGGTGAACTGTAATTTTGAACGTAAATTTTAAATTTTAAATTTTAGATTTTTTTTATATATGGGTGTAAAGCCCATGCTTTTTTAGCTCGTGTTGAGCCGGCCTTGCATCAATCCTTTATCTGGCGGGACAATTCAACTCCCTCCAATTGTAAAGAAGTTCCCGGAAGTTGGATCTGCGGTGGTTGATGGCTCTCTAGTTTTCAAGGCTTTCCTTACAGCAGATCCTATTCTATTTCCCAATGATTATACTGTTGTCACACTCTGTGGTGGTTGGAACACTTTAGCATACGTTAAATCAGGTCATAAACGTTGGAGTTTTGTTAATATACCAGACCAACTTTGGGTGTGCGATTTCATCAGTTATAAAGCCATTATATATCATGTAGACCTATGGGGTAAGGTTGTTTTGGTTGATATTGTTGGACCAAAATAATTTTTTTAAGGGTAAAAATTGAATTTTTGGCTGACTTTGATCCTAAATTAAAGTGAGACCTGGTTGTTGTTCTGAGTAAATTTTCGTGGGTTCATATTCTACTATGCGAAGAGAATAATATAGAATATTTACTTGTTCAAATCGAGTAAAAAATAAATGAGATAATAGGCTTCAAAGTAACCCTATTAAAATGTAGAAATAAAGGTTGTGCAATGAAGGATTTGACACCAACCCTACATTGGTTAAGAAATAAATTCTATAAGCACCGTGTGTAGGAGCGAAATATGTGTTAAGGATATAGTGTCAAACACTAGCCTTGATCTACTTGAAGTTCAATAACAGTTTTTGATCTGTAAACAGATTAATATTTATATTGGTTAATCAAAGATGTGTTTCTGTTTTGATAAGTTATTGTATCTATTTCATTAAGACTATTATAATTGTTTCGTTTATTCTTTTGTAACTGTTTCAATTTTCTGTGTAATTATTTTGCACTTGATTGTTACTATTTTATTATACATTACATGTTTCAAATCAAAAATTTTAATAATTAATTTTATTATATTTGAAAAATCACAAACAACATATATATATTAGTGGGGTTACTAAAAGTAATTTTTTTTTGGCCATAATCATCGGTAAATGTGGTTGCACCCAAAACGCATGATTCCCTGTTGACATATACTGTGGAATCATCTATAGGTGATCTCTCACTGGACCAAAGGTTTCTGTGTGATTTCAAGGAAGGACGTAGGACATTAAGGTTCAAGATTTTCAAGCTGCAATTTAGTCCACTGGGGAGGAGGCAAACAGGGTTGAGGTGAAGAATATAGGTGGTGATGCCTTATTTTTAGGTGATAACTATTCCATGGCAGTTTTGGCTTGTGACTTTCCAGGATGCCGACCAAATTCCATATACTATACAGATGATTACGTCCCTATGCTCCTTCTCCTTCACATAGAAACCGAACAAATCCACAAACACTCCCCAAACACAGCTTACGCAGTTGTACTTGGGGCAATTGCTTGCACCATTTAATCTGAATGCAGAACTTTAAAATTCCCAAAAGATTTCTCCTAAGATATGCATTTAGTTATATTTATATGATTTTTGAAATGTTGTGCATAAGATGTTTGATAAATTGCGTGAACGAATATGTTATCAAGACCTGGACTGGAAGAGTTGAATTGGAGAGCCTTGGTGGTGATGCCCTTTTCATAGCTTATAACACTTAATACAATTCACCATGATGAGTTTTACATTTCAAAAGTGTTCTCAACGTCATCATTAAGATATCAAAAGAACCAAGCCATTAAATAAAAATAAGAAAACTACTTGGATAAAATACTCTTACCAAAATTTATTGATTTAATTCATTGTTGTCAGTTTTATGAAACCGCTAACTAGAAGATACTATTTACTTAATTTGGTTGTGATTGTGAAGGCCGGAGTGATCTCGATTAGTCTAACCATGCCCTGACTTTTTGGTGACTAATAGAAGAAGCATAATAAGGTGCGTTTTGAGATGCACAACTCCAACACTTTCGTTTTGAGAAATTTATACATTTTGTGTAAATTGTAACTTCAACTCTCATGGTTAATTCAGTGACGTCCCGTCAACTTGGCTCAGTTGATCTCATTATCGTAATTGAATCACATCATGTCATTCGATATCATACCGCTTCGTTGCAATATGATTTAAATATTTTGTCATGTCTAACTTCTTTTATGTAGCATCTCATGTGCGTTGCCTAAATAGCATTCCATGGCATTAACTAGGCTTGACAATCCTAGATAGGACCCAAAAATTAGGTCCAAAATTGACATTGAATTAAATGATTTTGGTTTAGTTTTAACGGATTTAAGTAGTAAATAGATGAACCAATTAAATAAATGAGTCAACAAAAACTCGATTAAACACAATATGAACCCATTAAACACTGCTTATACACGACACAGATAAGACATAACATAAACGTATCTATATACAATCATAAAAGGGTCGTGTATAGATTGAGTAAATTTTAGCACCGACGACTTAGACACTACCAACAGCCATTCCCAGCCTTGGCATAAATTTAAACGACCCCTTGGCATCAACTTATACCTACTTTGATTATTTAGGGTCCTAAAATTGGCCCTGCTTTGACGTTTTGAACCCCTGTATCAAACACCCACCGAACACTAATTACTTAATTAACCCAACCAAGCAATTCTCTTGAAACAATACCGACATTGAATGGGAATCGAACTCTTTTCGGAGATGAAGTCTTCTAGGAGTTGTAGTTGGAAAAGGAATGCATATAACCCACGTCCTATAAAATAAATATATATTGATTTCTACATCTTATCAAGAACTTTTGTAGATATGGGCAAGACCTTCAAGGGTCTGCTTTCATGGCATGGCTTCCGGAGGGCCTTCTCGATTCAATTCTTGTTAAGTTGGTCACATTCTCCGACTACGTCCGGTTTAGTGTGGTTTGCAAGCCATGGCACTCTGTTGGAATGCATCGTCGTCTCAACACTATTCATAAAAAAATACCATTGTTGATGCTCCCTCCTAGTACTTGCAAGCCATGGCACTCTGTTGGAATGCACCGTCGTCTCAACACTATTCATAAAAAAATAAAAAAAATACCATTGTTGATGCTCCCTCCTAGTACTCCAACCGAAGAATGGCGTGCCTTATACAGCGTCACAGTTAATAAAGTCTACAACTTCAAAGTCCCTTCACATGGTTGGCTCTTCACTGAAGTAGAAAACATGGTTTTAGTCCTCATTAATCCATTCTCAGGCGGGACTATCCGTCTCCCCCCAATTGAAACATTCGCGGGTATTGAACACCAGAAGGTTGAAGTCGACAAAATTTTCAAGGCTTCTCTTACGGCTGATCCTATTTTATATCCCAATGACTATACAATTGTTGCAATCTATGGTTATTGGAACGATTTAGCATACATTAAATCGGGTCGGGTGATAAAACTTGGACATACGTTGACATACCGAAACAGTCTCTAGCAGAGGGTTGGTTGAGCGATTTTGTCAGTTATAAAGGCCTTATATATGTCGTGGCCCTTGGAAGTATGGTTGTATCTGTTGATATTAGTGGCAATTCATCTTCGCCAGTGTCAGGTGTGACAGTGGTTGCACTTGCACCATCAGTGCAGGCTTCTCAAGTGACATACATTGTGGAATCATCTACAGGTGAACTCTTGTTGGTTCAAAGGAAACTGATTGTGGATCAATCGGATCATAACCAACGAATAACCTCACGTTTCAAAATTTTCAAGCCGCAGTTTAGACCAAGTGGAGAGGCAGACAGGGTTGAGGTGAAGAACCGGGGTGGTGATGCCCTATTCTTAGGTGATAAGTATTCCATGGCGGTTTTGGCTCGTGACTTTCCAGGATGCCAACCAAATTCCATATACTTTACAGATGACTACTTCATTCTCTTTCACAATGAATTTTACAAGCACGATGAATTGGGCATTTTCAACATTGATGATGGCAAATCCGAGAGGTTCTGCAACCTAGATCATCCAGAAAAGTTCTCTGCGGTGCCTGCCATTTGGATTTTGCCTTTTTTTATCCTCGTTGCATTTGGAGTAGTGTATCAGTTTTGATTGCTTTTTTTTTTTTTTTAAATTT